ATCAAGAAATAAATGAATCTCCAACAACAAAGAATCGAGAAAAGTAGATAAGAAACTTGTGGAGGCAGAGGCACTGATAGGTAGGGCCACCCCTCGCCCTACATGCCGCGTCCCAATGCATGACGTTGTTTCGAGACCCAGCAAAAGCTGCTGCGGACCAAGGCGCCACGTTCGCCTCGAAATTACCAGGCTTATTTACGAGCCCCACAAGGATATAGTAAACAAACTGCTTAGGCCGTCTCGAGGTCGACAAGAAGTTTGATTTGGCGGTAAAACTTAATGCCCAGCGCAGGGCCATGCGATGCACAACTCCCGAACCAAACCAACCAAGGAACCAACCGAATTAAACGGTAAAAACCAAACAATCATCAAAATCCCCGTCTTCCCAATATACGAACAACACCCCAAACTCACACACACTCAGCTCCCTCCTTCAAACTTAGGCAAGATACTTACCACAGAAATTCCCCGGCATCAGAATCCTTGTGCTTACTTCCTTCCCTTCCTTTCACATGACGCCAACCGGCGAAGGAGAAAAATTACCCCTGATCCTTCCTAGGCCCTTAGCCAGGCACCACCGCAGCAGCCCTTGTCTGTAACTTGCCGCCGCCGCGCCCTTGATCTGAAACACACTGCCACGCTTGTCCACTCCCCACCGCTAACGTGCGAGGTTACGATTCGTCAGTATTTTGTGTTTTGTGGGCCGGGGCGAAGTTGCCGAGAGGGCCCGGGACGCGGTGTCCGGGCTTGGATGCAGTTTATCTTTAGCGACGTTGCGTCACGTCGCGGGAATGTGAGTTGTGCATGTGAAGGGGACGGGACGGGCGTTTTTGGTTGCGTGATGTGGTGCTGGTGGATATGGGAATTACCCGAATAGCGTGGTTTTTGCTTGCATCGCGCTGCATTGTGCTGTAGGTATTTTGCGATGGTTGGATGGTGCTGGCAGGGAGAGATTGATGTGGTTGATCGCTCGCCAAAGACCGGCAATTGTGAGGCGAGAAACCCACATGGGGCTTCTGGACGTTCTTTCGTATGCGCGGAGATGTATGTGGTATCGGTGTGGTTCATTTGCCATGTTTTTCTTTTTTGTCAATACTGTATCAATATCACAGCCACGTACGTCGTCGGCTTGCGCGTCCCCAGCCACGTGCCCGTAGCCGCCTGGCCGCAATCGCCATTACAGCTTCGCCGCTGCCAGCTCCTTCGGCACCACCCACGCTGCCCACGCTTCCGCATATACCGTCCCTTCTCCGTCTTCTATCCATCCTTTGGTCTCGATCCACCTCCCCTTCTGCCGAACAGGCTTTCCCCTGGCCATGTACACACCCGGTGTCTTAACCGCCTTCTTGAACGAGATCTTCATCTCGACAGTCGCCGATGGGCCATCACAGAACTCGAAAACCAGCAGGCCCATTGCCATATCCAACAGCGTCGCTATGAAACCGCCGTGAAGCCTATTCTTAGCACCGTCCAAGCCATTTCCCAGTGAACATAGGATGATAAGCTCGGGTACTTCCGGGTCGTCCAAGTCATACACCACCTCCTCTTTCTCTATCAGCCTTTTCATCATCTCCGCACTTGGTTTCGGGGGAATGTAGTCCTGAGTGAGCATTTGCGGTATTCTCGTCTCTGCGTTGGCAGCCCGTCTCTGGCCACCACCCGGCTTGAACAAGTCGATATACGCGGATAGAGCGTCATCGTCGAACAGCATACGCGTGAGAAGAGGAATCGTGCGGGTAGGATGTTGTAGCATAGCTTTGCGGGTGCGAATGTGTGTTATGGATGGATCTGAGAGAATGGCCATGCACCACGCGTGCGCGGTGATGTCGCCGAGGCGGTCCTCTGTTCTGGGTGCCATGGTGGAAGGTGGGTATACGGTGAGGGGGGCTGTATGAGGTCGTGACGACTTCGAGGGCGTGGTATTTGAACTGCTATTGCTAATGCTAATGTTGTACTATTGACACCTCGTACGAGCTGACCCTCCGTCGCGATGCGGAGTAGTACAGGTTCCGAGGTTGCCGGCGTCATATCGGCTGTAAGACGAGGGTAGAACTCTAGACATACACCTCACTCTCACCTAGGCACTACAAAAAGTTGGATCGAGATAAGAAGTTCCATTGATGCTACGTGGGAAGTGACCAGCCACGAAATGACATCGTCGTAACGTCGTCGACTTCGTTCGGGCGCTAAATGCGACCATGTTCAATCATATCCAGCACGTAGCAATCCTTTGCAATGTCATTCAATGCGAACCATAAATCAGCATGCTTGACCAATATCGCCTGTACGAGATGCACCAGTTTGGGGGATGTCCACGGAAGACGCTGCGCGATGCCAATCCTAGTCACTTAGTGTGCGTCCTTCAGTAAGGTCAACAGAAGCGCACCCTCCAACACATCAGCGTCATACATACCCGGCTGCGGCTGCACATCAGAAGTCTCGGAAACCGGTTGATTGTAGACCTGGGTTGCCGCAGTACCCTTGGTAGCAGCAGCACCTTTGTTGACACCACGCTCCTTGGTAGCAGCACCGTTGTTGATACCACGCTCCTTGGTAGCAGCAGCATCGTTGTTGACACCACGCTCCTTGCCAGCGACAGTCTTCTCGACGACACCGCTATACTCAAAGCCCTTGACATTACCACTCCGAGCAGCGAGACCAGCCCAGAATATATCCCCGCGCTTAGGCAACTCTCCGAACATGAGCTTGGCAATTTGAGCGTCATTGGCAATCTGCGCATCGCGGAGCTGATGTGTGGGACGCCAGAAGAAATCCTGTTGAATGGGAAGAGCTGGTGTAAGGCCGGAGGAAGTATCATTTCTGATCGGCAGACCGGGAGTCTGGTGACGGAAGAGTCCCATATCTTGGTTGCGGGCAATATAGGAAGCTATATGAGGCGTTAGTGGTACATCTCCGTAGGTTGGAAGTTGAGATATGCTCACCTGGCATGGGGGTGATGTCGTACTTGCTCTTGCGCGGCTTGATTTGCCTAAGACCTGGCTTGATGGTTGAGGTTGTCTTGACAGGTTGGGTAGCTTTAGCGGCGTCAGTGGCTTGGACAGCTTTGGCGCCTCCAGTGACGCCAGACTGGCTGCTCTCGGCAGCGCCGACATCCCCGCCAACCTTTGTGTGCTCAACCTCTTCAGTGCCCATGTTAACATCCACTCTGCCCGAAGGGTTGTGTTGTGTCTTCTGGCGCTTGATAGGACGAGCTTGGTGGTCAGGGTCTGCATTACGACCGTGAATGACCCAAGCACCGCGATGCTTGTTGGAAACAGAGTTGATGATAGTGCTGTTGTAGAGTTTATGAGGTGAGCCGATGATAGTCCAAATCTTCTCGTTCTTCTGTATCGTTGTTAGCAGGGAGATGACATGAACATTCCAACGGGGAACTTACCATGAGGCTGACAGCATTGGATTTGGATGTCTGGAGTGTGTTAGAATAGCCTCAGTGATACGTCATCGGTTGATGCTTACCTTGAGAGCCATGCAGATCCAGTCGATCCGCTCTTTGAAGGTCCACTGTTGGGTTTGGCCAATAGAGTCGATGACAGTCTTGTCGTAAATAGCTGCCTTGAAGCCTTCGGTGTGGATAGCCTTCGTCATACGCTGGAAAGTTAGTGACAGCAATAAAGCAGCATGTTTCTGTCACTTACGATGATGTCCCAAGCACAAGCCTCGATGGCCCAATCTCCATAGTAGGAGTCGTGAGTCGGAGACAAGCGCTTGCGATAAGCGCTGCCTTCGGTGTCCTTGGCTACACTCATCTCTTTGAACGCATTCACTAGTAGTTTAGCAACAGCTTGGTGCTCTTCTTCTGTCTGAGGAACCGTGCCATCTTGTCCCGGGGCGCGCCACTGAACAAAGTCCATTGATGCTTTCGCATCATCCATGGCCTGGAAGTACAAGCTTCCGGTGTCTGGGAAGTCCTTGTTAAGACAGTCAGATGTGGCCGCCCGGAGACGGCACGGTCCCTTCAAACCCTCCGGCACCTTCTCCAGCTTTGATTGAGTCAAAGTTAGGAACTGAGGGTGTTGTGGAGGACATGGGGTTTCCCCCGACGACGAGCTTGTACCTTGCGCTATGCCCTTTTCAAGGCTATAACCCGACATTCTGTTGAGGCTATAACGATTGTTGATATATCGATCTAGACGTCTGATGCAGGAGTGTTAGCACTGTCTTTTGTTGAAATGAGGCCCAGGATCCAGAGGCAAGACCGACAGCGGCGAGTATAGCGAGAAGGAGGGTGAATTCGGCAGGGAAGGTGAATTCGGTGAGTTTGGCTGTTTATATAGTCTCAGATGTGAAATGCAAACTGGAACCGAGAGGGCAATGTGAAGCGGGGTAGCTGTTACGCTGCGACTTTGATACTGAAAGTGAAGTGAAGTGAAGGCAAATACCCGAGGAAAACAAACAAAACTTGCTGCCGTCTAACAACGCAAGACCTAATGACATCATAAAACAACATTCAGGCATCTTTCATAGACGTATATACAACAGCAACGAGTGAATCTCCATAAATTCTTGCATAGTAGAAGGTGCTGCGACTTCTGCAGCGTTGTAGGAATCGCGCATTCACCTCGGTACTTACCCGTGCAAGAACAATATAAATTATTGACGAGCTTCAACAGCGATACAGTATGATTTAGGACTGCATGACTCTTTTGATCATCACTGTCCAGGTGCCCTTCATTGTCGACATATACGAGTTTCACCGTCGATCACCGGGCTGCAATCCATTATGATGAACCGCGTTTAGTGTCATGACGTAGTAATTTTGCTCATGTTACCTCTCCAGGCTGCATACGCGAGGTCGCTGGGTAACAGACTTTCAGCATCGATAACAGAAATATTCCAGCGGTGAGTGTCTATCAGATTGAATAGACGCTGAGGTGCGCGCGCCAAGTATCACTATGGCAAACGAATAATATTCCTTCGTCTTCGCAATCAGCCTCTGAGAGTAAACACTGGACAGTATGGAAATCCAGATCTGATGCACATCTACTGTAAGCAAGATTTCTACGCCTCATTGCGAGAAACAGACCCAGTAGTCCATTCTACCTGTCGCGAATCACATTCACATGATCGAATGTCGTATTCACTCCCAGCGCTGGCGCGTCGCACAGCAAGTGGGCGCATCATCCGTTTGCAAGCTCACAAAAAGCGTTTGCGATTTGATTGCTGATGAAGAGTTTACTAGTGAATGCCGGTATAAATGGAGGCTTTCCAAGGTTTGGAGCGAGTCATGTCTAGCGTGTCATCGAGAAACAGGATACCTGCATGCGCATGCGGGGAAGACGCATGGTGGTCTAGCGTGCATCGGTCAAACTTCAAATTCAACGTCAAGTAATGACACCACCTTCCTATATACTCACTCTTCTTGTTTCTCACGATTGGTTTCGCAGTCTAGTTTCTCTGTGTTACGAAAGACCAGGTATAGAAAAGTCGTTCAGTCTTTTACAATCCGGGGCCGTCATGCACTTTACGGGAGCCTTCTAGCGACACGGGTGTCGCTGCTCGGACAGCGCAGTGAATGCGTGTGTCTTTTCGAGGTACGCGATTTTTCACGATACCTAGTGTTGCAGATTTGGAGTTGACGTTAATACAAGGAAACGACGACAAGGCCATCACACCATGGACACCAAACAAGAGTATGAATGGGCCACTTCTCGCGTCCATATTTTTCCCTTATCGCTATTCCATAGATCCTCGGTGCTCTTTACCACAACTTCTTACCGCCAATAGAGGCATACGATGTAACTTCCGGGATGATCTATCTCTTCTTCAGCATCATCTCTCTGGCTTTTGCAAAATTTTCGTACACTTGATGTGTTTGGAACGTCTTACTTCATATTCTCTATCTCTGTTATCACAATGCAATCGACAGATCGCAACCTCATGTATCGCGGATGCCGTTACGTCAGGGCTGTCGCTGATGGCTAGCGATTACTGGACGATGCGCCGAGCGAATGCTCGTACGTACCCCGGGCACCAACGACAACTACGACACGATGACAATGCGGATATCGGGTAACGTTTCATCATTCCGATACTACCCACTGTCTGGAGAAGCGAGGAAATCACAGCAATGCGCGCTACCGGAGCCGATATCTGCGCATATCTCCTCCCCCGCTCCTAGCCCTTCGGCGCACGGGCCCGTGAACCACCGCATGACGCATACTGATTATGAGAAGGTTTCTCTCTATCTCCTATTTGGGTATTGCCGGCGTAGCTAGGAGCACGCAACGGCGCCAAGCATCTAGGTTTTAGAAACATGCGACAGTGCCCTAATCGTCAGTCTCCCGCACTCTCTCATTGTCCTTCGCCAACATCGTCAACATGAGCTTTTTTGATTATTCCTTCGAACTTCAGCTACCAGCAGGCTCTCAGAGCACAGAAGCCGATCATTTTGACCCTGGCTGGTATGAGCCTGGTGGCCCATTGAGCTTGAGCGACACTCCAGAATTTGTCCACACTCCCTCTATGGGCAGCGGTACGTATTGGCAGCACATCTACCAATTCGGAAGTAGACACTAACTCCATCTACACATAGGCGAAAGGCTGATTGTGGTTCTCCACATATCCCCATCGCGACTCGCATCAGCGACTAGTCATGGTAGCTCCATCGGAGACAAAGAAATGCGAGCCAAAAAGGTCATTTCAAAGCAAAAGAAGGAAGACGGAGTAGCGGAAAAGATGGGCTCTGATGTCAGAATCATCAGCACAGCTACTGGATATCATATCGGAGGCGTTTATTGGCAAGCGCCCGCCTGTGACACAACCATCCCCTCCTCACCCGCCGAGATCAGCGAGTATGTCGATATGCTTGTCAAGGCAATATTGAACAATCAGGGCTGCCGAGAGCGCGAAAATCGTCAGCAGTTTCTTAATCGCTGGGGCACCGGATCTTCTTTCTACACGATATTCGAGGTGGAAGCTGCCGCTCGCGAGGTCATCGTAAGTTAAGCTCAAGCAGCACACTTGAGTCATCTGACAACAACCCAGCTCGGAATGAAAGAGATTCATGAAAATGGTTGGACCAAGGCCATCTACGACAAGGACGAGCGCGAGTGCTACCAACAGACGATGTTTTACTCGTTCGCGGATCGGTTCACAGCCATTCATGAGCTGCTAATGGTATGTCTTAGTATTGATGACATGCATTATCGTTCTGCATATTGCGATTGATTTTTTGCGCGTAAACGGTTGCGTTGGAACACTTGTATTCACATCTACAGCACTCAAAGACCACTTGCAAGGACGTCATGAAGGGGACAAAGTTTTACGCCATCATCGGAAACCCGCGAGTGCTCAGCAAGCGCACCAAGATGAACGTCCACTCAAATTCCCGGAAAGCAGTCCGGATTGCCAAGGGCATGGAGTTCATGAAGCGGCAACATGAGGACACTGCAAAGAACGAGTACGATGCAGCTGAAGAAGCTGCCGAAGATGATCACCCTCGTCCGAAGAAGCGCGCAAAGAAACGCCATTTTAGATAGGTTTTGCAGCGTTTGAGAACGTGGAGACTTGTTTCAGAAGTATGGATATGTACCCTTTGGATGATACTGGCAACGTTCCGTTATATGCTTGTTGTGGAAGCTGATGTCTAGGAATCTAGCAGCGCCTTTGGCTCGAATGGATGGGGTTGGTACACCTGGTAACTTCTTGCACATAATATCATAGTAGAATTATAAAAGTTGATTGCCGTCAAGCAGCAAATGTATTACATGCGCGGCATGCGGTTGAATAAATACTGAGTGAATATATACACGAAGAATCTCCTTCCCATCCAACGACCCCTATCACAATATCAGGTCTATGTATGATATCGATATGTCGTATATCACACAATCCCGAACCACCCTCTTTCTTTTCCTCCATCCAGAGCGTATATGCCTCTAGCAAGACTTGATGGCCGAAGCAGTGTACTTGCAGTAGTTGGAAGGACCCTTGGAGACGGACTGGGGCTCAGAGCCGGGCTTGGTACCCTTAAACTCCTCGCAGATAGTTTTTACGTTGGTGGCGCAGGTGTTGGTGATAGTGGAGGTACCTCCGAAGTTGGGGTTGATGCCAGTCAGGACCTTACCTAATATTTCTTAGTAAATAATATCTACTTAGTTAATTTATAGTATTACCGTTGTAAGCCTTGACGTTCTTAACGACGACGGAGCGCGGCACGCTCTTCTTGCAGTTGCCGCAAGCACGGTAGAGCTTGCCAAAGTCCACTACAGTAAAGCCATCAATGGTGACTGTGCCTTGGCCGTTGTGCTGGATGACCTTGTCTGAAGCAGACTGAGCACCTCCGCCCTTGATCATGGCGTTGCCATCTCCCTTGAGGGTAAGAGCATCCTCGCAGACGTCAACCCACCAAACGTTCTCGATGGTGCATGATCCCTCGCAGTGGATACCCTCGATCTGGTCCTTTCCGATGATGGCGTTCTTGAGGGTACCGCCGTTCTTAACAAGGAAGACAGCATCGGCATTTCCGCCTTCGGCTTGGCCGGTGCAGCTTACACCACGGCCATAGGTCTTCATGCCACCATCGAAAGTCCCGCTGACCTCTTGGGCCTTCTTGTAGGTAACAGAGCCCTTTGACGCCGGGATGGGAAGAGATGCGCGCTTGGCAAGGGAGAAGATCTCGTTGGGAGCGGGGGCAGCAGGACCGGCGGTGGCGAAGCCAGTGATGGCAGCAATGACGGCGAGAGAGAACTTCATTGTGATGGTTGGAGTAGAAAAAAAGTCTGTTTGATAAAGTATGTATAAAGAAGATAAGATGCTGAAAGAGTTGGGAATGTGTAATGCTTCAAGCAGACAAAGGGGCGTAAAATGTGATCGTGGATACAGTTAAATGCATATGCTCCCTGGGTACTTATAAGCGATTTGTTCCATCGATATTGCCGCCCCACCACCTCTTCGTTCGAGATTTGGCCATGTGAGGTGTTCCCCGGAAAACTGTGGGCCAGCCTCAGAGCATCGTGCGCTTGTTGACAAGACCTCGATACGAACCCGGTACGAGGTACGCTCTCATCCTCCTATTGGGTACCTGAGTTCCGGTATTGTTTTTGTTCCGTAGGGTGGGTAGATAATGAACATTCGGACCACTTTCTCTGAAAGTAGATTGTCACACCGACGCTACCAGACGGGAAGATGCCAAGCTTCACTCTGAAACCACGCGAATATCCACATCAACACCACCAACCTGGTATGCTAAGATGAGTCGAATTTCCGCCCCTTAGTTACAACGCCTGACCAGTGAAATAATTTTCCAGAAGTCGTGCCAAGCGACGATTGCGAGTGATGACTGCGGGGCGGGCCTTGCGCTACAACCTCTGATTGATGAGGCTGTTTCAACCCCTCTCTTGTGTGGTTCCTAATAGCAGCATCTTTAGGTACAAGATCTGCGGTAACTTGGCATGCTTGAGCTTGCGGGCGAATTCTTCCGCTCTTTCATTCTTGTACGCTAATAGGCAGCCTACTTGACTACTCATATGTGAGATGAGTTCCGGAGTGGAGTAAATCCAGCAGTGGTTTGAGTGTTATTGTATGCGCGTGACATACAGAGAGATGATGGACTATTGCTGCACGCCACATCCTCAGTGTCACCTGGGTAACTTGCAATACTTGACACCCTGGTATACCAAGGCTACTATATGTAGGCGCTAGATATGCCCAAGTGTTAGGAAGAATGGGATCTACCCACATTGTCAAGTGTCTTGCGTCACCCAGTGTTGGGCATCTTGGTTGTGGTCCAAGAAGCTAACAACTCATCACGCGACTGAACGTGCTACCCACAACCGTGTCGCGCGTAAGTACAAGCAATGTTGTCTTGAGATAACAGATACGAGAATCCTTATTCGCAATGACGTAGGACTGCAGATCATGGTAAGAAGGTCCGAAGCAGAGTGGACGCGTCGCCTGTCGAAATTGATATTTCCAATGGACCTAGCGGTGTGCCGACAGAGTGAGGTAATCGCGCTCCGTAATCGGATACATACAGTAGGTGCCCACAGGAACTTGCTAGTGGTGTGTGACGACTCGATAAGTTGGTATGGGGTTCAAGAAGGCGATTCTCGCGATGTCGGTGTAATTACACAGTTCCCCTGCGCTTACCTGTTCTGGACGGAATGCGGGGTTGGACACACCAACTTCTTTCTCCTCCAACAGAACAAGCAATATGATTGCATCAAACCCACCTTCTGTTCATTAGATGACTCGTAGCGCCGCGATGATACTACTGATTTGGTATAATCCTAAGACGCGACTGGTACCCATGAGAATTTCTTTGCTAGCAGTTTTATCATCCAACCTGTAATCAAAGATCCATAGTTTAAGATTGGATCCGCGTATGCACCGACCATGCAAATTTCTACCCAACGTATCTATGATAGCCAAGCAATCATTTGGTTTGATGTATACTATCTACCTACTCTTTAATGGCACCTCTTATACACAACATTGACTCCGCCCCTCGCCCTGCATTCTACCAAATCTCCTGCTTAACCTTTACCTTGGCAAGCGCATGTCAGATTCAAAGGTTGATGATTGTACTAAGAGGACAATATATCAAGACAATAGCATAATATTCTACCTGCGAAGGATAGACAAATTGCTACTAATTCACGATAGCGTATTTTAATACTAAATACCCTATGCTAACTTATCTCGGCCTATTCAGGGCGGAGTCCTAACAGCGCAGCTGTCACAATTTTTTATTGCGCTCAGGCCAATAAGTCTAATCTTCAACCAACTTCTCGCAACCCCCCTCGATCTCTCAACATAAAATACGTGCCCCCGAGGGATCTACGATCGAACCTTGGAAGAGTTCTTATACCAACTGTGCACGGCCAGGGTAGGAGAAGCAGAAAGCAGACAGCCACTCTTCCGAAAGGCCGAACAGATGCAAGGGTAACGAATGGGTAGATGTATCATTCGTAAGGTCTGCCGAGTAGAGTACTCAGTAGGTATCATTTACCTATATAGGCTAGGCAGGGTCCGTCCTAGGATATCATGTGACAACAGACATACAAAAATCGTGTTCTACGTTTACTCCCAGTCTACACGGTGGGTCAAGGTATCCGTTTCTGGGACGCGACTTTACCAGTCGAATACGCATCTCAGATCTCTGAGATATACATCGAACCTCTAATGCGTACGCAGAAAGTGTTGAATACTTGCAACGTCGTATACGATGATCCAACAGCTTACGCGTGTTGTCTCGCGAGAATGGGTAAGCCGGTTGCTCGTTACCGGCCAATCCATCGGGATAACAAATATCACTGCCTCTCAAACGCGCAATTGTTTACATCTCCAACACTAGTATTACCGTTCTTCTCCGTATCTTGCTTCCTGTCCCCCCGCGATGAGCCGGTTATCACCGCTTCGCAGTATGTAGGCCTGGTAGTTGGGAATACTACATAGTGGCAGTCAGACTAGGTCAGTCAGTGCAAATTCACCAATAGGTCTCCCGCAGCAGATACATATCTGACTCGTTGAAGACTGTCAGCACTATAAGAAAAATGCCGCATCAGCTCAGCGAATGGGCTAGGAACGGGCTCACCCAGCTACGCAGCTCACCTCCAAATACCTCTCTAGCTCAGCGCTATAATACATAAGACATACTGTAAACTTCTTGGTAACAGTCAGCTCGTGTGAATCTTTTTTTGTATATAATGATGTCTGCGCATTCCATGGAGTCGCAGTCTCACGCAGCTCTACTTGGGTACTCAACAAACAAATTGTCACCTACTGCCGATTGAACCCCCCTAACAGCTCTGTGCTGTCGACCCTATACGCTCCTGGCCCAGCCAGCCAGCCAAAACTATCTCAACCAAACGACTTTGAACGATTACAACGACGCGCCAACTCTATAATCACAAGACAGCTCTCACTCCAAAACACCTGCACTCAACGTCTACCTCGACTCCCCCCGCAGTTCTTACGTCCACCACTAGCATCGTAGGTGCACTCTAGGTTTCAGAAAATGAGCTCTAGCTTGTGTTGGGCAGCGCCGCTGTGCTTGCTGCACCAAGCAGGGAAAACGAAGTCGCAAACCAAATCGTCGATCGCGCTGTTGGTTCTGTGTCCACTGATTCTCATCACGGGACGCCGGTACTCAACGTCCCAAACAAAATCGTCGATCGCAAGGCTACGAGATTTCTCGATGCACCTCTTGGTAGTTTGTTTTCAAGCGGTAGCTTCAAGTGTCCCAGCGGGGCCACCATATTCAACTGGTTGTCAGCAACCGTAGACGTGAAGAAGGTTGGGAGCCAAACAATTGTAACCTGGTCGCCCATACCCGGGGCCGGCACCATTACCGGCACTGCTATCGCCGGTAACAACGAAGTTGTCGTAAATCAGTCAATAACGACGAAAGAAGTATTCAAGCACTATACTGAGGGAGATTGCATTTACCGTCCATCGAGCACGTTCGTGGCGCATGTCGACTTGCAAAAGAGTACCCTCCTGCTCGCTGAAGGTAGTGAACAGGTATTGACCGAACAGTGCAAGACCAACGGCGTATTTTCACCGGCTACGGCATGTGAGAAGTTATATAGCACATGGACAGGATGATGAAAGTTGTTTGTCTTGACCATCTGGTTCCAATCCCTCGCTTATCGATGTTCGTCTCCAGTCACTCGTTTAAACTTGGTTTTGTAAATAATCACAACACGCAATTCGGGAAAACATCACTAGCTCGTGCAAATCATGTGAAGTATGAAGGTTTATCAATCTAGCTCCCAATATCTTCTACTCTTTTGTCTAACTCATAATCACTCTATTCATTGCGCTGTGCGACTTGTACACAGAGGCCGCGGACCAGGAATTGACTCGATCGGATGGGGGCGCGATTGGCGGGAATAATCTCGGTACGAGCAAGGTGTACTTACCACATGTAGTCAGATTCGATCCTGGGGTACGTCGTGGAAGCTCACCACCTTACTGTCGCTGGCCCTCGATCGACTCTCAGTAATTGTCACTGGAAATCGTAGATCTGTGTCTGCGGCCACTCTTCGGTAATTTCGACAATCTATGCCGGTCAGAACAGTAACCTAACGTCAAGAATATGTGTTTGACATGGAAGAAAGTGCTAGTTTGAAAAGATGCACGTCGCAAGACTTTAGGGTCGGTATAACCTACTTCACTCTCTATCCCTGGAGAGGGAATATATGGCCCCCCAGATGGAGGAAGGTACTGCGGACAAATGCTAAGCCCTACAGCGCCTTCATTCGCCAATCGCCTCTTGACCAAGAGCGCATCTGACAGCACCTTTGCTTGATTGATGCCGAATTCTCGCACGATGCGCGTCATACAGTTGTGCACAAAGTCTTGACTTTCAGGCGAGGCTGTTTGCATAACGGCGGCGACATAGAGTGCCCATACGGTGGAATAGCCGCCTGCGACACGAACAATGGGAAGCCGAGACTCTGTCGATCCATTTCCAACAAGACTTCCAAAGGTACTGATTGCGTCACCGCGGAAGTTCCGATCGAGTGATTTGAGGACGGTCTGATAGCCTCCAGACGGTGTGGAAGATGGTCTTGGTTCCCCGGAAGTGGGCACATGTACAGGTGCGTCACCCATCCGGTCCGTTGTCGTATTCGGTACAACACCGGGAACGTCGTGCAAGAACTGCGGCATACTTGCTATAATGTCGGACTGCAGCTTGTATAGTGTACGTGTGCTGATCTCTAGCTGCTTGTGATACTTGCATCCAACGAGCGTCGGTGGAGTGGCTGCGAAGCCTGCCAAGATACCATTTCGAATGATGTCGTGGAAGTAGATTCTGTTGTAACGCACCCAGTTCCATGTCTGAGCTGTCGTAGCGGTCGGGTAGACATGGTAAAAGTCTTCAAATACGTCTTCTCGTTTCGCACAACGGATCACATCGTAAGTCCATTCTGGCCCTTGGTCTTTGAATATATCGGCTGCAACAGTATCCAGCTCAAGGGCCGACTCTATGATTTCCGTCAACGAGAATGTTTCTTTGCTCAGTATTCGAGCTCGCAGGTCGATGGTTCTGATATGGAGAAAAAAGAAGCGATTCCTAGGGTCGTCTCTATCCACGTGCTTTATCACTTCCGTATTAAAATCGTGTATATACTGTGGAAGAGAGATATTTTTCCCCATGCAGTTCATAGTGAGGAGCCCAACTGTATGGAGATACATGCGCATCCCAGCCGGAGTTTTGAATTGTTCCATGCCACGCAACCTAATGAGAGAGGCGGCACCATCGACGTGATTACTCCAGCCTTCCAACGTACTGTCGTTAAATGTAGCCTCGAACACCCCGAGGAGGTTCACGGAGGTAAGGGTGCTGTCTGATTTGGCATCACTAGGACACGAAAGCGCCTTGTTGATCATCTTGATGGCATTTAGGTACCATCGTGTGGCCTCGCGCTTGAGCCCTGGATCCATATGCAGGTTTGCAACTCCAGCGATACCCAGGGCTGTCATGGACGTGGCGACAAGTGGATGGAAGCCGTGTGTAGAGAGATGCTTTTGGAAAGCGTCCGATTGTACAGGAGGCTGGTCTATACCAGTGCAGTAGTAGGACATGAAGAAAGACAAGCCCTGGTCGATAAGTGTCGCCGTCATCCCTATCTGCGGAACTTGTTTGGCCATGATCTGGAGATATGTTTCTCGCGGATCGCGTGGACTCTGTGCATCAAGAGCTGCAATAGCTTTTGCTTTAGATCGCTTTGCTTTTGCTTGAACATGTGCAGTCTCATCGTGAAAGATAGCGTCTACGTTTCGATCGTATCCTGGGCATTGGTATTTCCTTTCTGCACATTTAATGCAGCCACCAGGCCGTTCGTCGCACTACAAAAGTGTCAGCATGTTGGTCCCGATAGCCGTAGTGGAGATCATTTTGTGTACTTGTAATGGGACTATTACATGTGTAGACAAAACTGCCTCGCAGAGGTATCCAAGTTAGGCAACAATTAAACGCTGATTGCATCAAGGTGTCAACCTCCACGCGATACGTGATCTGGAGGGAAGCCAAGGCAAGACGCATGAATGATGTGTATAAAGTGGCGCTCACCACTTACTTTGATTTTTCGTTCGCGACATTTCTTGCAACCCGTCGAGGGTCGCCCTCGATACACCATGCTGAAGAATATTAAAGGGTTTTGCTATCAAAGAGGATAAGAACTGTTTATAAGGTCACAGCTTATCGCGAAGAATTGCTGATTCGTGCAGTCTGGCCGTTTCTAAGATGCTTAACTCTCAATATGAGGGCGAACAATTCTTTCCTTTGAACATGAAACCTCGTCACAAGCGCGATAAGCAAATGGATGAGTGCGATTCATGAAACCATCGCGGCAAGAATGAGGCATGCTATCTGGCCTACGTAGGCGCCGACGTGTGGCTGAGTAAATCGCCTTGATCGAAGCGAAGAGAACCTGGCACTCCGGGAGACGGCACGACAACAGAACGGGAGGCCTGAAGTAAGCTCGTCGCAGAAAGGAGCCGCTCGAGGCAATACGAAAACATACGACGACAAACCGCGCCGCTAGTTTCTTGTAGAGTTGGCTGCATGAGTCGTTGTTGCGTACCCGTACGCTGCTAAGGTGGGGGGGGGGGGATCGAACAGCACGTTACGGTATCGGTAGCCATAGTTAGACCCGAGAAACCAAAAAAAAACACTTGCTATCAGCAGCCCCACCCCAACTTGACCCAACATGACACCGTGCATCTTTCAGTCTGGGATTCGTAGCCAACTCATCTCAAGTATAGCCGTGTAGGTACTCTCTCCAAATGGACTATAGATTTTAGTAAATTAGAGCTTACGTCATCAATCAGCAACTCAACACCAGGCGTTGTGGCGGGTAAGCAACATTCCATCTCCTCACACACGAAAGCATCTTACTAACAGTACCTCGCAGAGTGGTTATCGCGCAAGACTAGAAATCTTGTTCCTTCGGGAGCGTCAGTTCGAATCTGGCCAACGTCGTCTTTTTTTGCCTTTCTTTCTCCCTACACAGAGCATGGTCAACTTATACGAGATTCTGAAAGCTTCTGGCCAACAGAGTTGTGCTCTTTTTTGAGAACAGATGAAACTTCCGTTATTGGTGTACAAGACCATGTCATGAATAAGTTGTCTAAATCAACTCTTGTTGCCTACCACGCACCATGCAAATTGCCCCATGATCCAAATACATAAAACAAGGCCCACCACTCCCTAATCTACCAAACCCCCACCTAACCTTACCTCATCACCTCATCACATCTCAGTCCTCTCCCCCTCATCCCCATCCTGCCCATCACAAACCCCACCATGACAATACTTGCCGCAGCCACCAACCCACCTCCACCTCCTCTTCTTCGCTCGCTCTGCCATACCAGCAGCAGTACTAACACTTGTTTTACCCTTCTCCTCTTCACACATCCAAACCCCATTCCCGCATTCAAGAATACAAGTGCAGTATTCAGTGCCGTTTGGCTGGGGAGTGCAGAGGGAGCGGTCGTGGGTTTGGTGCGCGTACCAGGATCCGAGGGTGGAGATGGGGATTTCTGTGTGGTCGGCGGGTTAGGCTGGGGAGGAAGGGAGGGGATGTTGGAGATGGGGAAGATGGACGTACCTTGCTTTTCCATGAGTTCCCAACCACATCGTTCGGTTTTGACATCGCAATCTACCTCCATCCCCATTTGCGTCTGCAAACCAGGCATCACCGTCGCAAGAGCCGGCGCTTGCAGTGGAAATAACAGTACCATCACCACAGCCACAGCTGGCGTAGTAATCTTGGATCCACACGTCATCCTGAACCCCCTATTCACACGCATGTCAGAGAAACAGTGACGAAAACGATGTGTTCGTTATCTCCAACTTTTTTGAAAGATACAATGGTTGAGTAATTTGTATAATATAACTTTGCTACTTCCGCTGGGAAGAAGCAATATAGGGGACCGTTCTTGATGGGAGAAAGTAAAAGAAAGTATGGTTACACGGATACACGGGCGACGGATTACATGCACACGTGGCTAGCTGCACACCGTGCCACAAGGTGCGGCAGCGGTGTGTGGAATCCCTTGGCCGCCGTTCAAAGTTGGCTGGCCGATGGTTTGTAGTGCGCGTCACAGTTTGGCGATCATGGGGACAACTAAGGGCGCGAACTTAACCGTTTAATGGGAAGATGGACTGGAAGATATGACATTTCAAGATCGATAGAAATATTCGTGGTATTCGTGATCATCATTATCTGATTGGTAGACTCATTGATTGAGAGGAAACGATAACCCGGAAACGCCTCGCTATGCAAAATGGGTATCAGAAGCCGTTGTGTACCAGGCTTGTAAAAAAAAAGAGAAAACGCCCTGATGAAACCAGTGAGTGTAATCAAACCCAAGCCAGACTCCAGAGCGCCGGCATGTTGGGCCACCTTTCCTGCCAAGCAGCAAGGAGCTCAGGGACGCGCTCGTCGAAACCAGAGCGAGCAGCACCACCGCCTGACTGCCAACCGCTGTCACCATGTATGTCTCGCTCTTTAGCGGCGGCTTCATTTAGAGTGAGCGCGAGGTCGAGGATCGCCTTACCACCAACAAGAGCCTCCTCGTGATTATCCTTGATGTCGACATTAAAGACGTGAACAGGTCGGTTGAGCTTGCCACCCTTGTTGTGTAAATCTTCTAGGACGGCATCGAAACAGCGCTCTTCACAGGTGATGACCACATCGACTACACCAGACTCTGTACCTTGCGAGCCTTTGTCTTCGGCATGGTCGAGACGCGGCTTGCCCGGGACCCAATCTTGAAAGCGTTCGGGGTAGCCCTTGATGTTCAAGTTGCGACCAAGCATGTTCAACAAGCCATTATGGGTATACAAGGCAGCGTTTTGCTCAGTAAGTTCGTCATGAATAGCGCGGTATGTGGTATCATTGAAGCGGTAGACATTAGGCTGTGTGATAGTAGGGCCGGGCAGGCGCACGAGGGAGCCGGTGCCGAAGCTGATGGTCGGGAGGTGGGCAGAGGCAAGTTGGAGGTGGGCTTCCATAGATCTTTTCGAATTAGCTTGAGTCAGCAGACAGTAGGACTGACAACAAACCTGTTTTGATTACTCGCGCACACAGTGCAAAACTTGAGCTTGAAGCTGTCGTCGGGCACCATGTTTTGCTTGGCATGCGTATCGTTGGCACCGTCCATGGTCATGGGTTGGGAGTCTACTGGTGGCGGAGGCGGTGGAGGAGGTGCAGGCTGTTGTTGTCGCCCGCGCAGGCGAGGGTCGGCGGACATGGCGGCGGTGGAGGGTCTGGTTCAGGTGCAGCTCTGCAAATTCTTCACGGACGTTAGTTACGGCTCCGCAAGCTTGTAGGTAAATAACAGAAGAATTTCACGCGAGTATCAGAATTTTCAGTGTATATTATTATTGAGAGTCCTCAAAGGCTAGTGCCTAGGACAGCTCCAATATGTGTTCATCATCTCACAGAAGGCATGGGGAGGTGGCGTCAGTACGTACATTATGACAGGCGACTATTCAAGGTCATGGCCCTGATGCATAGAGGGAATGAGCTTGAATAGAAGACTGGGGTTGCTGGTGGTTGGTGGTTGTCAAGGCGCGAAGCCTGTGGAAGAAGCGCAAGCTTTGTTAAGCTCGGAAGGAAAATCATTGTTGGCGTGTGATGACTAAGCGGGGCCGGGACAACGATTTAGCGGGACTAAACAAACCATGGTACCGTACCAGAACGGTAGAACGGGCCCCAATATCGATAGCAGATACGGGCTACTATGTCCCCCCCGGGTCATTTCCTGTTCCTGAAGCGCTTGGATGCTATAGCATTACGCCATATAAATGACGTTGAGAAAGCGCCAGGCCTGGTGTGGTATTGCGCAAGCATGTGCGCCCAAACAGGACACGACCCGGCTCGGGCTGCCTGCCAGGCCAGGACGTGGCTCCAAGTATGTACTACTTACTTACAGCGACATGGCTGGCAGACCCAAAGGCGCGCCCACGACTTGTGCGTTTGGCCGCGTGACGGGACGCGGTGAAGGCTCGTCCAGGACATTCCTCGTCGACGGCACGGTCATGTTGATGGATTCGACCAGCCGAGGGCGACGTGGCCGTATCGCGTTAGCTGCGTGCATCTGAAACGATCTAGGGTGAAAGAGGACTAAGTCGGTGTTGGAGCGGTTTGCAAGCATCGTAGGCAGAGAAGAGCCGCCAGAACACACATAGCCCCTCGTCAGTGCTAGTCAGGCCTCATGTCATGAACGGCTGTTGTTCCGATTCTGCTGTATATTTCTCTCCATCGCAGGTCTCGGTCTCGTACCAGATGTCGTACCACGCTGACGGTACATTCGACATATTCTGAAACACAAAGCCGGCGTCTAGCATGTCCCCCGCCGCCGTGTGCCAAAAATAGAGTGTCTTCACTCGGCCTTCTTCCACGACGCGCGCTGGGAGTCTACACCATCCAGAACTGTCGAGACCTTTGCCAGCGTCGCCTGGCCCAATAACACACCCAGTGCCGAGTCTTTGCTTTGCCGATACCCTTTCAAACGCTCCGGGACCGCTCCCTCGGGCGCCCACTTCACCACCGTTCACCGGCTGAGTGTTAGCGCCAGGCTTGACCCCCACAACCCCAGCGAGCGCTTCTCCAGCCGCCTCGCACTGCAAATATCTTCACGCCCACTGCCAGACGTCCCAATCGCCGGGCGCATAACCCTAGCCGACCACGCTCTTCCAGAAGCCCTCACGCGACCCCGCCGACCCATTGGCCGTCGCTGCCGTCCAAACATCGAGACAAACATTCGACTCGCTGCGCCATCAGCCACAGCCGTTCCCCGCGCCCGCTGCAGACGTCGACGACTGACTGTGATTCGGACGCTGCGTGTGCGCCTTGCGCGCTGGCAAGACGCTACACTCTGATCTCAAAACTCGTTTGCTCCTTCCCATATCCACACCCTACTGGGTCGCGCCTGCCCCCACCACAACCGCACTTGGTCATATCTGCGTACCTGCGCACATCGCACTTACCGCGCATGACCGACACGCTCCCTGCACGAGAGACGGCCGCCGACTCGCAACGGCTGCGCGACATTACTGAGGGTCAGATTCAGGACCACAACATGGCTGCCGACGTATTATCACCGCGGAGCGATCCGGGCTCTGCAGCACAGGCGGGTCCAAACCGCACTTCATTGCCCCCGCTCGTCACTTCCCCGCCGTCCAAGGCCAGATTGGAGCGCGCAAGTTCCTACATAAACAAGCGCCTGTCCACCTTTTCAAACACTTCCAACACACATCAGTCAGTACGCTCACGGCCGCAATCGACTGCGTTTCCCGTTTTCCACTCGAGTCTGCCCTACTCGCTTGTCCGCGACTTCGCCTACGACCCACTACACCCACTGTTCTACGGGCCACTCCCAGAACAGCCGTCTGATTTGTCTACACCAGCAAGTGAGCATAGCAGAAGGCTCTCAGACCCGCCCCCAGTGGCATGGCGCAGTGACCGAGGCGGTTGGTCTGCGGGGTCTTGGGACGAGAATGGCGAGCAACTCCCGCAAACGTCATACGACGGGGGTCCGCCTTACAGCGAGGACGATGATATCTCGAGTCCGGTAGTTACCAGCCACCACGGCATACGCCACAAGAAGCACAAGTCGAACATTGTCAACTTTGACCATACGCGCGGCCGGAAAGGGTACCCAGAAGAGCCCCGGCGGGGCTCAGTAGCGCCCATGAACGGCGAGAGCAGCCACTTTCTTGGCGACGATGCCGTCAACGGACCCGGTAGCGAGTACATTACATATCCACCTGACTCTTCGCGACTAGGCGTACCAGAAGGCGCCTCTCGCCGGGACTCGCATTTTGCAACAACCCTACCGCAACGTGCCTACGAAGATGCCGATGCCGACCTCGAGGGCCCGCCTTACGATTCAGACGATGATCTATCCGAACCTGAAGACTATATCCACGATGACAACCGCTTCTCGCGCGACTATCAGTTTACCATTGCTTCGCCAGACGAGGAGATGCACGGCAAGGCAGTTGCCTTGTTCGATTTCGCCCGAGAGAACGACAACGAGCTACCTCTAGTAGAAGGCCAAGTGATTCTGGTTTCATACAGACATGGTCAAGGTTGGCTCGTAGCCCAAGACCCCAAGACAGGTGAGAGTGGGCTAGTTCCCGAAGAATATGTGCGTCTACTACGCGATATTGAAGGGGGCCTAAACGGCTTAGTCGGTGCCATCCAATCGCAGCCCGTGCTACAGCCTCCAGAGGTCCACAACGGACCCGAGAGCTTGTTGAGCCCCATCTCTGCTGGACCAGAAGCAAGGACACCCACGCAGGCCGACCACCCACAAAATTACACTCCCGTCATATCAACCTTCTCCACAAGCCACAAGGACCTTGAAAAGTATCCTACGGACAGGCTTGGCACGCCAACCACGACCGAAGGCGGCCCTTTCTCAAGAAACAGAGAGAGCGTACCAATGGCAATGGAAGGTGTCGAGACCACCCCCGAGCACCCGTCTCACGACCGCAAACCATGAGCACTAGAAGTTGAACTCGTCTCAGATTACGAGCTCACTTATTTTGGCATCCATTCCCAATCATATCAATCATGGCATCAACGGGGCTACAACAAAGCCCCCAAGCAGTAACAATACTTGACACACATACATGTCCGACTGCTAGAATGAGGCAACACTTTCTCTCACCCACAAGGTGAAGCAGATGGGGCCCTCACATTACTCTTGAACGCCCTTTTCACGACATTCGCTTCAACCCAATGTCTTACCCAAACCACCACTTTAACGACATGCATTTACACAGGCGTCGATGATTATCGATTGTTTTTTTTCCTTTTACCTTGGCAACCATTTTTTCTGTTTTCTTTGCGCGAGGACATTAGGGATGGTGGGGTGGCATGATGTGGGTGGCGGACATATATCATGGACAGTTGCCCAAGGCATGGCGGCAGGATACGGTAGATCTGGATGTTGATGAGGGTTGGTATGTTTTGCAAAAATCGGGAGTGATGTGGAATGAATGGGAATACAGGAAGGGGGTCATGATGTATGGATGAGTGCGTGTGTTGGCAATGGAAATGGCAACTGTAATTGTACTTTTCTTTATCTCTCTTTATCTCTCTCTATATTCTTTTTGTCAAGGACATGTTTCTTTCTCTTCTTCTTCTTCTTCTTCTTCTTCTTCTTAATGAATGGAAAGAAATGGGATGGGATATGGCAATATAATATTTAGCTATCTATATTCGCTATCAGCTTTGGCTTTTGGCTTCGGCCTATGGTCTTTGTTTTGTTTACGAGTGATTGCAATGGCTAGATTAGCTTGAGTGGGATTGTAATTGAACCATTGAATGAAAACACGGTATAATCGATTGAGAGTGCCAAATTAAAGAAATACAGTATGATTGAGACAGCTTCATCCAACCTTGGTATTATTACTTGTGGAGATGACGCTCGAAAGTAAAAGTCCATGATGATCCACAACGGAAGTGACTGCTAATGAAACCTGGCTATGCCGACACCGTGTGTATACCCAATACTCCATGCCAACCACAGTACCCAAACATCCTAGAAGAGAGAGAAAAAAGATAATGGAAAAAGAACACTATACAAGAAACCCCCCCGCCTGCTTCCCTCCCTC